AACTGCATTCTTCTGGGATCCAGAATAAATTTGTGAGAAGTATTTTACTTGTATATCATCTAAAGATAGATATAGGTTGAGTCTCCCTTATCCAAAAGGCTGGGAACCAGAACTGTTTTGGATTTTGGAATATTTGCATTTGCATATATGTACATAATGAGATATCTTGAAGATAGGACCCAGGTCTAAACACAAAATTCATTTATGCTTTGTATGCACCTTATACACATAGCCTGAAGGTAATTTTATACAATGTTTTAAATAATTTTGTGCATGAAACAAAGTTTGTGTACATTGTGGCACTCTAGATACTGCTAAACTACAACTTCCATCAGCCCCATTCAGTCTAGTCAGTGGTGAGGGATGATGTGGGTAGAACATTTGGTGGGCCACATGTTCTCCACTCCTGTAACAAAGTAATGTATCATTATTCGTGGCCTCTTAAAAGTTTGTGCAGATGTGATCTTGGTTACATAGAAAGCATGAAAAAGTGACCTTGGGAGTTGTAATCCAAAAAATGTTGTAATCCAGCCCTGTGAGTTGTAATCCAAAAAATGTTATCCCACCCACTCTGCTGTGCTTACGGAGGTCAACTTTCTTCCCAGTGCACATATATTGAAGTGGATCAGGTTGAAAGGACCCACGCAGTCATTCTGAGTCGACCTGCCTGGCTGTGGGGAGCCGAGATGGGGGCCAACGAACATGGAGTCTGCATCGGCAATGAAGGGGTGTGGACCAAGGAACCAGTTGGGGAGGACGAAGCCTTGCTGGGCATGGATCTGGTCAGGTAACAGTTAGCTAGAAAAAGTTGGCTGTTGCACAAATGAAGTGCCATTGATCCAAATTGTTAAGTTATTTGCGAAATATGCATTAGTTGCATTTTCGTTATAAGAAAAAAAATTAAGACATTCCCACAAGCAAATATGTTATTTGTACCTTCTAAGCTCTGTCTCAAAATATTTGGTATTTCCAAGCCACATTAACAAAAAAGTGAATAAAAAGTATCTGTTAGTTGACTGTGATCAGTTACTAGTCACAAACTCTCAAATGTTTTAAAGCTTTTTAATTTTCTGTGTCTAATAGAATTATTTGTTTTTACTGTTTGTTTGTGTTTTTTTTTAAACACCATTTGTGTTAATATAGTTTTAGCTGTCCTTTGTTTTAATTTCCAGTAAGTCACCTTCGGTCCAGTGATGGAAGAAAGGTGATATATTAAAGAGAGAAAATGTTCATTTATTTATCTTACACTTAAGCCAAACTACTTCTTTCTTCTTTCAAAATAAAACCGCTTTAAAAAAAATGCTAGTGAATTTAGAGTTTGAATTAATAGCACTTTACATCTGACAGCCAGGTTAATAACGTGTAACCAAAGCTATGTGATGTATTTCAGGCTGGGTTTAGAGAGGGGTACGACTGCCCATGAAGCCCTCCAGGTCATAACAGCACTTCTGGAACGGTACGGTCAAGGGGGAAGCTGCAAGGAGGAACCCATCCCTTTCATTTACCATAACACCTTTCTTCTGGCCGATCGCATGGAAGCTTGGGTCTTGGAAACAGCTGGGCGGTTTTGGGCTGCTCAGAGGATTCGAGGTGAGCATGTTTACTAAGAACTATGACATAAGACGTGGGGCCCTTTTTTATAACACTGTAATTCTACTTTTGTTGCTGTGGCCACATCCTGAGGAATCCTGGGACCGGAAGTCTGATGCGTTAGTAGAGTCTCTGGCTGAGAATACTGAATACGCCTCCCTAAACTATCAGTCCCAGGATTCCATAGGAGGTTGCTGTGGCAGCTAAAGTGGACTCATGACACTAAAATTGTGTGGTGCAAAAGTGCCATGGATTAGAAAAGGAGCATTTTTGCATAATCTGAATAAATAAATAAAATGAATAGAACTGTAACAATGGATGCAAACTACAGGAAAAATGATTCCAACTCAATGTTAGGAAGAACGTCCTGACAGTAAGAGCTGTTCGACAGTGAAACACACTCCCTTGGAGTGTGGTGGAGTCTCCTTCTTTGGAGATCTTTAAACAGAGGCTGGATGGCCATCTGTCTGGGGTGCTTTGATTGTGTGTTCCTGCTTGGTAGGGGGGTTGGACTGGATGGCTCTTGGGGTCTCTTCCAACTCTGTCATTCTATGATTTTAAATTAAAAGTAACAACATACAACATCATTTTAAAATATACCAGTAAAACTAAACATATAACCCAATTGGTTAAAAGTCCTTTCCACAGCAGATTGGGCCAGCTACCAGAATTGGACCTGAACATGTAGACCTTTGCTTGCCAAAAGAGAACATGAAAGGAACCATCCTAGCTTCCCTATGTTAGGGAGTTCCACTACTTGAGAGCAGCCAGCAAAAAACCCCTTGGTCTACGTCTGGTTAGAGTTTCATACTACACAATAATCATGCTACAATAACACTTTAACCATGGCTGCATCCTTTTGCAGTTGTGGGGTTTATAGTTTAGGGAGGTAATAGGGCTCTCTGGCTGGGAACTCTAAATGCCCCTCCCTAAACTCCCAGGATTCCATAGGATGTTGCTATTGCAGTTAAAGTAGAATCATAGGAGTATAATTGTTTAGTGAGAGAAGACTTGTGGATTTAGAACCTGAAGAAGTGACTCTTTAGGAATTTGGAGGGAATTCTGGGAGTTGTATTAACAGGAATAACTTCTGCTTGGATCTCACTGATGCAGTTGAATGTAGCAGGTGCTGTTATTTTGCCAACTGTCACTGCTCTTTCTATTTGCTTCCAAGAAAATCTTTGTCCTGTTTCTGCAGTGATAAAATACTGGCAAATGCTCATTGGCTGAGAGCCAAACTCAAGTGAAATGTAAGCAGTAGAAGCACCAAAGAGTTGCTGAACAAGAAACAACAGCAGGACACCAATGAGATCTGACTGTTCTTTGCACAGTTTCACAGTATAGACATTACTATTAGCCAGTATACTATGTCTGCATTTCCCAGGAGGAGGAGAAGCAGTTGGCAATTTTCCTTTAGTTGTTAAAAATGCAGGCCTGGTCCAAGATATTTTGCTGCAAATGGTGTTCACATTATGGTGCATAATATCTCAAGCAGCCAAATTATTTAGCACATAGGCAGGAAATCCCAGAAATACCTCTTCCCAGCTCTGAAAACATAAATAACTAACAACTTTTAAATCTTTCCAAGGATCACCAAATCGGTTGCCTAAGGCAGTTTTGTTACTCTGCCTAATGGTAGGGCCAGCCCTGAGCAAAGGCTTGCTTAGCAAAGCCTGAGCAAAGGCTTGCTTAGCACAACTGCTACTTGAGAATTAATCTTCAAGGCCAGATAGGTCCCTGAGATTTTAAAGAAAACAGCATGGTCAAGGGGATCACAAGATGAAAGTCTAGGACATTGAGCACTGGCTTGCAAAATTAGCTCCAACTTTTCAGCCTGCAAAAATGCACGATGGAGTTCTTCCATAAACAAAGCTTTTCTTTTCCTTCCCACACTCATTAAATAGAATCTGAGGTGGGGTGTCTCTGTGTCTGCAGAAGGTGCCCGGAACATCTCCAACCAGCTGAGCATTGGGACAGAGATTACTGCTGAACATACAGGTCTACGACAGCATGCCCAAAAGCAGGGATGGTGGAGTGGTGAGGGAGAATTCAGCTTCTCAGAGGTATTTTCACTCATCCACCAGCCTGTTCGCATGGAAGCTGCCAAAGCTCGGTATTGTGCTGGCCGGCAACTCCTGCACAAGCATTCAGGTGTGTTTTCAAAATACGCGAACAGCAAAGCGTTGGAAACTAAACTGAGTTGGAGGTGGGGGGAATGATGGTGGCTGAAGGATCTGAAAGAATGGCCCTCTGTTATTTGGGAGTCTCTTGGAACAGAGATTGGGAAGGGTAGCTTGGGATCCATTGGTATGTTTTAGGGTGATTTGCAAGATATCACAGCTGATTTCCAGTAGTTTAACAATAGCAATGAAAAGATCCCTCAACTCTGGATTTTAGCTGATGAAATTAGCAGCTTTGTGGAAATGAGTACAGCAGGAGTTGGGGTAATACAGCCCACCAGATGTGGTGAACTGCAACTCCTGTTTGCCCCTCTCCATTGGTTATGTTGGCTTGGGCTCCTGGGACTTGCAGTCCAATAAGTGGAGGGCTACATTATTAACACTGCAGTAAAAGGTTTTAGGGCAGGGGTAGGCAACCTAAGGCCCGGGGGCCGGATGCGGCCCGCTGAGGCCTTTTGGACTGGCCCCAGGCTGGTCCTGCCGCCGCCGCCCGCCATGATGATATTGATTATTGTTGTTATTACTTGTTCTTGGGATTTTCTTGGCAAAATCTCCACAGGGGTTTTGCCATGGCTTTTCTGGGGCTGAGAGAGTGTGCATGCATTTTTTAAAAATATTTATTATTTTTTTAATTTTTAATTTTTATTTTTATTTATTTATTTATTTATTATTG